TCACACGACTTCGAAACCTGAGTGGGTTTTATAGTTGTTTTCTATGTTCTCTCCTATTTGTCGTCGTTGGGGTAGTAGAATTTTCCGGTTTTCTGCCTGAATAGGTGTTGAATCACTCCTTTTACACGTGTTGATTCGATAAACAAAGCTTCCGTTGTTATCAATCTCTCCCTCCACCCAGCTGTTACATTAGATTTTAAAACTGTCATCTTATCCCATCCCATTGTATGGTTGTGTGTAATTACGTGTAGTGAGTGCTGTCTACGGCTGAACTATTCTCTAGATTTCTTATCTTACTCGGGTCAACTAATCTAGAATTTGCTGCTGGGTTTTTATACTCGGCTTGTCTGACTGCCCCTGCTCTACTACTTTGACCTATGTACTTGACCTGACAATCATTGCAGACCGGGTATTAGATAAACTGAATTGTTTTGTTTAATGTGCTGCTCCATAGGATTGATCCTTTAACCGACAAAGCATGTTTCTAATTGAGTTAGTGGGTGATTTGAATGCCAGCCACTTTTATTCCTGCCTGCCTTGTTAAGAATTCAGTGTAAGGTTTCCGAGGTTCCTTCCTTGTATGGAATTACTAGTGATGATTTAGATTCCTTATTGTTGGTGTTGTCTTGCGCACATTTGACTTGCATGTCGTCATTAATATTACTATTATTATTACTATCACTATCACTACTATCATTAATTATTTTATTTTTACATTTCCCTATATATTTCCTGACTAATTTATCAGGGTAATTATTAAGTTTCAAGGCTTCTATTATATGTCTCACTTCATGTCTTAGACTTTCCTTGGTACTACTTAGTTTTTGTGCTCTGTCACTTAAACATTTCACCAATCCTATTTTTACTGACATAGATAAGCTGGGATGATCGGAAGTCAAATATCTGTTTGAATGTGTGGGTTTCCTGTTAACACACACTAGTGTTTAACTTGCCATCTTCTTTCCTTTTTACGCTGCAATCTTAAAGAATAGAATAGAGAGAGAGAGAGAGAATAGGATGGATGGAATAAGATGACTGTTTTAAAATCTAATTCTGTGGCAGGTTGGAGGGAGAGATTGATAACAACGGAAGCTTTGTTTATCGAATCAACGGCGCATCAGCACATGTAATAGGAATGATTCAACACCTGTCCGGGCAGACAACTGGAAAATTCTACTACCCCAAGGTCGACAAATAGGAGAGAACAATGAAAACTGTTAATCGCGACAGATGGATAGATTGTATGATAGACAGCTAATCAATATTATGTGACCTTTTCGTCGCGATTATTGGTTAATTTAATGTAACTCACACCACGTGATGTGACCTTGAGTGTTCTTTGTTTTCTGTCATCCTATTTGTGTGTACATGCAATTAATTAACTGTTCATTTTGTCCGTTCTCTCAATACTCTTCGGTACGTTTTTGTCTTTTCTTGAGTGACAATGGATTTGTATATTTTTCTTGGTTTAATTGTATGATTTATTTTAAGTTTTAGAAACAGGTAAAGTTTAAGTCAAGTCATTCTGTTTTTAACTATAGTTAAGCCAAGACTCTGTGTCGTCAGTACTGAGAAAGGACTAAATCTGTAGGCAAAAATAATCCTACAAAAACAACTATAAAACCCACTCAGGTTTTGAAGTCGTGTGATTATAATTGAAGATATGATTATGAAGAATACATTTTGTTCGAAACGTCATCCATTAAATACTAATACTGTTTCACTGTGTGGTACATCTAATAAACAAACTAATGTGCAATTACTTACTACCACACTTCCGAAGTTTTACACATATACTAATGTTCCATCTTTGACACCCGTAGTATCAGTTAGAAACATGTGCTACGAATTAGTTTCTGCCCGAAGGCTTTTTAATGCAAATTTGCACTAACTTGTAAAATTTAACCGTGTTAATTTATCTGTGGTAAATTATTCCTTCTCCATGCTTGTGTTTGTTCTTTGTAGTAAATTGCGGTGATAAATGTCCGTGAAGAGCATAACGTTAATTTCTATGCCTGATTATCTGTTCACGACTTCTGTTTGCAATTCATTGCATTTCAGGTCCTTACTCCCAGTGTCTTTATAAACGCGGCTAACCTGTATTTCTTGGACTGTAGAACATTTTAGCGTTGTTCCTAAATTTTTGTGATGTGTTTTCTGGGATAATATTGTCTTTTTCTCTTTGGTTTCTCGTCATTTTCTGGAAAGTAGTGCATACACTAACGCATGCTATTTTGTCAATATTGGACCACTGTCTTCAAGTAATTCTTTGTAGGCAAAGATTATTGGTAGTATGTAGTCATTTGGTAGCAACTGCAATTATTCTACAATGTGTTAAAATTCTTTAAGCAGTATTGTTAGTTTCTTGGGGTGCGAATGTTTTTATAAGTTGATGAGGGTTTCTTTTGATGAACTAATTCTGAAATTAATTTCGCCGTTCATATCTTTCTCAAAAATCTCTGCCAATAAAATTAGAGTTTTGTTCACTTTCCTAATCGCAAGAAACCTAATTTTCTCTCATCTCTTCCTCACACAGTCTCCTCAGTGTTAACCTCGAACGCCCAACCCACCGTTCCCCATTCGGGTTTCACTAGAGGGCCAGATGCACGATGTCATTCGATGGTCTCCTCAACATGTGCCCAGTCCCTCCCCGTTCTCTTCGGCGTATTGGTTGGTTCGTCCCCAGAGTTTCTTGTTGCCAGTTCTATCCGACCGACTATTTGATCTTCAGTATAGAGTTGGCGAAAACAGCTGTTGATAAAAGTCTGCAGCTGTCTGTTGGAAATGCTTTTCGTGACTCGCTAGTCGAGTCTCTGACGCATATAGAATAACTAATTTGACTCTGGTGTTGAAAATCCGCATTTTTTCTTAATGTTGAGTGCAGAAGATTTCCAAACTGATTTCAGGGTGATGAAGGTCTGTCTTGCCTTCCCGACTGTAGTCTTGAAATCCTCATTTGTGCCGCCTGTAGTCGAAACGATGCTTCCTAGATAAGTTGTGTAACATCTTTCAAATTTCTCCCGTTGATGGTGATTGGTGCTGGTTGTCTGGTTATCTTCGTCACCTGAGTCTTCTCTATGTTCACTTGAAGTCTGGTCTTTGTTGTTTTTTCTACCAACTTTCTGGTTTTCGCCTGTGTGTTCGAGTTCTTGGGATTGACATAAATTGTTCACGAAGTCGAAATCTTCTAGAGTCTTCTTATCAGTCCAACATGTTCCTGTTTTCTCGCTCCCCACCTACGTTGTCCTGCATAACTCAGTCCACCACAATTAGGAATATCATCGGTAATAGTAGACAGCCTTGTCTTACTTCTGTATTCACTCATTTCAAAGGCTTCACTGAGTTTTCTGTTGTAGATCATCTGACACATCGCATTGTCATACAGCTGTAGAATAATGAGGTTGATAAAGATTTTGGGCACTCCACAGTAATGAAGTAGTTTTCTAATTACTTCTCGGTCAACACTGTCGAAGGCCTTTTGGAAGTCGATGAAGTTGAGGTAAAGATTTGACTGCCATTATATGCACTGCTCAAGGGTGGTGCGTAGAGTTGCAATTCGGTCGGGGCACGACTTGCTTTTCCTGAATTCATAGTTCCTACCCACTGCATCTTTAACTCTCTCCAGGATGACTTAACGTAGTAGTTTGCCTGGTGTGGACAGGAGCGTGAATCCGTACCTGTTCTTGTAGAGGCCTAAGTTGCCCTTCTCCGGTGTTTTGGTAGGGTAACCTTTCTTCCAATAACTAGGTACCTTTTCTTCCTTCCTAACTATTTGCAATAGTGGAGTGAGCATATCCTCTGCGATCTCTTGGTCCATTTCCAGTGCTTCAGAGGGGATTTCTTTCTAGTGTTGCTGTCTTCCAGAGTTTTCAGTAGCTTGATTGCACTCAAGACTTGTGTTTTTGTCGGAGGATTGGTGCCTACTGGCAGTTCTCTGCCTGCTGTTGATGGCATTTCTGGGCAAGTCGCAGGTGATGATCGGTTCAATAGTCCTTTGAAGTGATCAGCCCATTGTTGTATTTGCTTCTCTTATTTTTTGGTAATTAGGTTCCCTTGACTATCTTTGATCAGTTTCATCTGCAGTGATCTGTCCTCAGCTACAGACCTGGTTATCTGATATAATGTTCTGAGGTGTATTTTACCTGCAACCTACTGTGTCTCCGTTGTTAGTGTGTTGTAGATCTGTCTATTGTCTTTCCTAGCACTTTTCTTCACTTCTTTATTCAGTGTGATGTATACTCAAAGTATGTTAGATTTTTATAAATCACTCTCGCATCATAAGGCATAACAAGTTGATGAAATCTTTGGCAAGCGAAGGGATAAGTCCAGTTAGACCAATTGGCTAACTGTTATGAATTGCAAAGTTTGGTATAGTTTATTGCTTATCAACTATCCATTTTCTCATGAGCTGACATCAAATAGAGATCCATTGGAAAACCTGCAAGGAGTACTGGACAGCTGCTTCGTTCTAGTTTGGGACTCTTCAGCAGTTCTAGTGGGAAGCCGTGACCAGTAGGATGCAGCAGGTTGAAGGTGAGGCAGTAACTCATCGAAGGAGACATTGCGAAGTGGTCGCGCTATGTCATAAATTGGCAGAAGTTAGAATTCATGGACTGGCCATTGGATTGGGTCCCAGTGTCTGCTGAATGGTCTACGAGCTCGCTTGCCTTGTAACCATAAGGTCCTTGGTTCGAACCCCTGTGCTGGGTGCGTCCTGATGAAGAGTCTCAAACTAGGCAGGCGAAACAGCTGTCCAGTACTCCCTGTAGGTTTTCCAATGGTTTTCTAACTGATGTCAGCTCATGATGAAATCCTTCAACCAATCAAACAAAATCCAATACTTGGAAATATACATTTTTTATTGAAAATTCCTTCTAAGTGTTTGTTATTTCAGCTTCTGGTGTAACAGTAATGCTTTATAAAAATTACATGCATATTTTCCTATCACTTTTGACAATCTATTCATTTTCGTATACTTTCTTTCTATTTCTATTTAAAAGGCCTCTAAGAGGACTTGGAAATCTGCATCTGCATATTGCACCACTCTCAAGTCAAGTGGGTAGGTCTTTCAAAGCTTAAAAAAGTACTTGGTTGTTAGTGTTTGTGTTTTGTGTGATATTATTTCTCATTGGTGTGTCTAAGTTCGAAACATTGAAGCTTTACTACTAGCCAGTGTAATGCTCGAACTCATGCAGTCTGGTGAGAGCCTACGGCGAGCTGTCATCTGAACTGGTGACAACTAGTGGTGTCTATCAGGGATGCCCACTATCCTCATTTGTATTCAATTTCATCATAGATGTACTACTGGACTTAACCCTAACTGCTGACTTCAGAGACTCAGGGATTGACGTGTTACCAACAGGGAATAATCTCGTTGACTTAGAATATGCATCCGAATGATATAGTCCTTGTAGGTGAAGATACTGAAAAAATGCAGAGTTTCTAAACACCTTGAGTTGCAATCTACGGTATGCGATTCGCTCCCGCCAAATGTAAGATGATGAGTCTGCAGGACTGGACTACATTGACTCACTCCTAGCTTAGAAATAGGCAGGAGTGAAGTGGTAGCTGAGAGTGTTGACCGCTTCACTTATTTGGGAATTTGCATCAGCCACCGTCAGAGGGTTGATCGCTGACGAAATTTCAGTACGGATACAGAGGGCTAGTTTCGCATATGCCAGTTTACGCCGTCTCTGCCTTAGTAGACGTGATATCCGGCTGGCTGTCGACCAAAGGGCGGGTGTACTGCTCAGCGCAGTAGTCCGCTCCGTCCTCCTTTATGGCTGTTGGTGAGACCTGGCCATTGAGAGTGGAAGACATGAAAAGCCTGGTTGGCTAGCTGTCTTTGATCATAGGTGCCTGTGTTCTATCTTCTGTGTGAAGTGGTAGGTGTAATAGGGTGAGCAATATTGAGGTAAGCCTCGGTCGAGTGCTAGGTAGGTGGGAGGGAAAATCAATCGACGAGGCTGTGAAGCAGCTCCATCGACTGAGATGGTTAGGACATGTGTTACGTATGCCTAGCCACCGCCTTCCTGGACGGGCAATGTTAGCTGACATAGCGTCAGGCTGGAAAAGAGGTGGTGGTGGTGGTTAAACCAAAACATGGCACCAGTCAATGAAATCCACAAAAGTTAATTTAAGCCAATCACGTAGGAAGATGTAGACTTCCTGACTGATTGGTTGGGGTCCTCGGGATGGTAAACACCAATGGCTGAAGACAATCGGTGATATGGCTCAAAATCCTCGTTCTCACTGACTGACGCAGATGCATCCACTCCTTGTGATTTATAGTTTCCATTGAAACTATATTGTCCTTCGTTCTAACTATTCCTTTTGTCTCATATCCTTGTCTACTGTCTCTATTATGCATTTCTTCTACTTTCTTCTCTTGATTTGTGTGCTACATGTAGGGAGTGTTGCGACTTGAACTGCTGGACATCGGTGCAAATTTCTATGTCGAAAACTGACGACAGACAGAGTTGAGATTAGAATGCTTAAAGTAAATGTGACACAATTTCACAGTTGGTGTAAACACAATAGGCTACTATATTTTGTGTGACAGGATGTAAGTAGCTTCTGAGAGTAAAATTGTTTGGCGCTCAAAGTATGCAACCATGTTGTTGGGAATCTAAGAAGTATTCGTATTGAATCCCAGTTTACAATCGAAATATCTGGTGACTCCTGCCTGGCATTATTGAATAGATGATAAGGTGTGCACACTAACACTGAATCACACTGAACACCACACAAAGAGGTATGGAACGGAATAATAATCATAATCATAATAATGATATCTTTATTCTGGACAGTATTTATAAAATGTACAGAATTTTCAGTGGAGTTTATTACGTGATATTTTCCCTTCGTGCAATATCTTCAAGTAAAATATTAATTGACAGTAGTACAGTATATCCTGTCATATATATATTCAACGGTCTCTGAGCTACTGAAGCACAAACCATTCCATTATGATGTGATATATCTGCTTTGTCTCCTTTACTTTACTTCAAGAAATTCACAATATCGATCTAGTTGAAAGCCAATTGTTAAGATGTTCAGAAGTACCTTTTGTGAGACCCAATGACAGACCATAACTGAAGAACAGTTTATCTCATGTTGTATTGGAACACGTTGCCTTGCGACAATCAGGCCATTCGTCAAGTTTTGCTAGGAACTTGTGAATCAGGCAGAAGCTTGTAAACATTTTAAATTCACACACAAGAGTAGATAATAATAATACCATTAGAGATCATATCTTAATTGATTAAAACAAACCAAACGGTTAGAAGTGCGTCGGTGGCATAGCGGTTAGGACACTCGCCGACCATGCACATGGTCCGTGGTTCGACCCCCAGCCGACGCACTCCTGCACCTCGCTAAGCCAGAAATAACGCTGGTGAAGAGTAAAGGTTGGGCATGAGGCTAGCAACCCCATCCTGTAAAATAAGCACTGCTAAAGAAACTTCAAGCCACTAGCTTGAAGTCCTATGTTTCACTGGGGAACGTGAAGGAAATAAAAAAACGGTTAGAAAATATAATGCAATAGAGAGAGAGAGAGAGATGTAGGATTTTGCTAGCCTAAGTGTTAAGCACACCGCCAGTGGTGTCTGACAGTAAATAAAAAGGATATACATGTATAACAGTAATGAAGAAGTTTTGTTATTGATTACGCCTTAAACCACCAGGTAATCATGACACAACATATTTGCAGCATTTGTGTTATATACCAAGTTACCACCATTCAACAACAGTCGTCAATATTGATAACCTTATCTCTTTCTTTTTGTTTCTTTTGGTTGTTTCTTGCTTGCTTCGTGTGTTCTTTTTGTTTGTGTGCGATTGATTATCGATTGGGACGACAGAGAGAGAGAGAGGGAGAGACGCGATCTTGTTTTTTAGAAGTGGCAAACTTTACGTCAAAATCAAATATTTTTTTCTTTACTAACCTAGAAACTATTGTTTGCATGTCAGTGAATGAAAATAAACTGTCCTCTGATAGATTTTATATATCATCACTTAAAAATTGATTCTCTCTCTGGACGTACATTTATGCGTACTCAATTGCACTGAATTATAGGCGCGATGATGTTTAAACATGCACACACACACACACGGGTTCTCATGGATTTTTCTTGCAGTCATTTATTTACCTATCTTTCTTACTGAGGAAATCAGTCGACGAGGTTGTGAAACAGCTGCATCGATTGAATGAGATGGTTAGAACATGTCTAGCCATCCATCGCCTTCCTCGACGACGGGCAATACTGGCGGACATAGGATCAAGTTGGAAAAGAGCTAGTGATGGTCAAACCGAAACATGGCTTCATCAGTCAATCAAATCTAGAATAATTAATTTAAGCCAGCCAGTCAGTCACATAAGGAGGTGTAGACTGGCTGGTTTGGGTCCTCAAGATGGTGAGAACTAATGACGGCTGGAGACAGATAATTGGTGGTATAGCACAGATGCATTCACTCTTTGTGATTGATCTGTCATACCCACCCATCCAATGGGACTGTATTGTTCTTCCAAATTACTACTATTCTTTTTTGCCTCACTCACACTTCTGTTTATTATCTGTCTTTTGATGAGTCTATCCTAACTTTCTTCTCTTGGTTTGTGTGCTACAAGGAGGTGGAGTGTGGCGAGTCGAAGTGCTTCACATGTGTGTGCAAAGTTCTTTGTTGAAACCAGTCAGGTGAAACCATCATGTGTTTCTCAAGCATATGATTAAATACAATCAGGTTCTGTTGATGTGTGTACCAATGCAATAGATTACACCTATATCATAATAGAGCTGGGCTGCTATCTAGTCCTCTGTGGGTAGGTAGGTAGGTAGGTATGTAACGGGAGGAAGACAAAATACTTGGTAACGGGATTTTTTATTAAGGAAACACATACCATATTTATACATTGTTAGCCACATTTAAAGTCGGCTTGGTTAGCGGGTAGTTAGCTGTGCTGATTGGTTGTTGGTCTTCTGAAGGTCAAACCTTGAGGTGTAAATTTATCCAATGAGATTATTTCCTGAACACAAAGTAAGCCTGCCTTAAAATGTTGTTAACAAATTTGCCTACTTCCTACCTGCTGCTGCTGGATTCAACATAGAACTTGGCACCCAAGTGCAGCAGTTCGAGTTGCCACCTTCCAAATAGCACACAAAGGTAGACAAGGAGATGAGTGATGAAGAGAATCAATAGAATTTAGATAAGTATAAGAGTGGAACAGAATGAGTAATGATAGAAAGGAATATGAAGGTTAAAGAGACTGAATACATCTGCGTAAGCCATTGACAACGATTTTGAGCCATGTCACCTATTGTCTGCCTCCAGCCATTGATTCTTAGAGTCCCGAGGGCGGGCCCCAACCCGGAAGTCTGCATCTCCCTACCTGACTCAGTTTAACTGTCAGGAATTTCATGGATTGATGCCGTGTTTTTGTTTGGCCACCACTTACTCTTTTCCAACCTGCACCTATATCAGCTAGTAATGCCCGTCGGGGTGGGGGAGGTGATGGTTAGGCATGCGCAGCACGTGACCTAACCATCTCAATCGATGTAACTTCATGGCCTCTTCGAGTGATTTTCCCTCATTGCCCAACACTCTACGCCTAACGTCAACATTACTTACTTACCTTATTATACCACCTAACGTGAGAAAGAGATCGTAAACATCTGTGGTCAAAAACAGACAATCTCTTCATGTCTTCGGCTCTCAATGGCCATGTCTCACCGCCATAGAGAAGGACGGAGCGAACTGCTGAGCAGTATACACGTCCCTTGTTTGACAGCCGGATGTCACGCCTACGCCAGAGATACTGTAAGTTAGCGAAAGCAGCCCTAGCTTTCTGGATCCGTGCTGTGATTTCGTCACCAATCAATCCGTTGGTGCTGATACAACTTCCCAAATAGGTGAAGTGGTCGACATGTTCTATCACTTCACTCCCTATCACTAAGTTAGGAGTTGACATAGTCCAGTCCTGTAGCAGCATCTTACATTTCACAGGGGCGAATCGCATGCCAAACATACGAAGATTACTGCTCAAGGTGTTCAGAAGACTCTGCATTTTGTCAGTATCCTCCCCTAACAGGACTATGTCGTCTGCGTATTCTAAGTCTACAAGACTATTCCCTGGTAACAAGTCAATTCCTAAGTCATTAAGTTCAGTTAAGGATACTTCCATTAGCATATCTATGATGAAGTTAAACAGAAAAGGGGAAAGTGGACATCCTTGACGGACACCACTGGTTGTTATCAATTCAGATGACAATTCCCCATAAGCCCTTACACAGCTACGTGAGTTTGAGTAGAGTGCCTTGATTAGTGCAATGTACTTTCTTGGCACTCCCTTAATAGTCAAACATTGCCATAGTACCTCTCGATCCACGGAGTCGAAGGCCGCCTTCAAGTCAAGAAATATGGCAATTGTTGGACGCCTAAAAGTGTGTCTATGTTCTAGGAGCTGTCGGAGAGTGAAGATATGATCTATGCACCCTCTACCTGGCCTAAAGCCCGCTTGATTTTCCCTCGTTTGTTCCTCCCGAGTTCGGCTTAGTCTGTTCATGATTACTGAGCCTAGGATTTTAGAGACTATGTTTGTTAGGCTGATTCGTCTATGATTATCACATGAGGACTTGTCTCCCTTCTTGAATACTAGTATAATCAGTGACTTACCCCAGTCTGATGGAACCGTCTCTGATTCCCAGACGTTACCTAGTACCTTGGTTAAACTATATACCAGTGTGTCACTCCCATATTTAAACACCGGAGTAATTCCGTCGGGTCCTGCCGCTTTCTCTCTCTTCAGATTATGGATAGCTTTTGTGACCTCACTTACAGACGGCGGGCCAGTGTCTATATCCCATTCGGGTGTGTGCTGGATGGCGGGGAGGCTCAGTGTGGCTGTAGGCAATGAGATTATCTCCTGAACACAAAGTAAGCCTGCCTTAAAATGTAGTTAACAAATTTGCCTACTTCCTACCAGTCTGCATCTGTTGAATACTACTGATAAATTTTGTCAGTAGTAGCACACGCCACAAGTGGAGTGACTTATCGTCTGCTATAATTCATTGTCCCAAAACTTACGTGTAAGCATCTAATATCCCATTGTCAACTTCGTAATAATAGTGAGACCTATATAATGCTGGAAAACTGAAAACAAAAATAGAATCACAAGTAGTATTTTGAGAGTAGTTTAAGTATTTATTCCTCATATAAGTAGGCGGTGATAACACATCAACTAACCTTCCACTTTTTTTTGTATCTTTTTTTTTCTATATTTGCACGCACAATAGTCCGAAATTTCAGCCATCGCATATATCATTTCTCTTTTGGAGAGCGTAGAAAAGCGCAAATCTATCCATTGGAAGCAACAGAATCAATTACTGATGTTTGTGAGTTTGTTTCATTTTGTAAGAACTTTCTGATTTGTTAATATCACTAATTTAGTTTATATAAAGCAGGCTAGTTACCATTTCGTGGCATCGGTGGCACAGTGGTTAAGACGCTCACCGACCATGCACTTGGTCCGGGATTCAATTCCCGGCCACATCCGCACACCTTTACCTAGCTAAGCCAGAAATAAAAGGCTGGTAAAGAGAAAACGTTTGGCATGAGGGTAGCAACTCTATCCTGTAAAAATAAACACCATTGCTACCAAAACTTCAAGCCTCCAGCTTGAAGCCCCATATGTTCCACTAGGAAAGTGAAGAAAATGAAAAATTGTGGAAGCGACTTTTCGATTCACTTTGCAATATGTTCCAGCTTTTGAATATATACATTTTTTTAAAATTTCTTCAGTTGCTTAAACATCCCTGTTGTTTTTGTTGTTGCTATTGTTCAATTCTTTGTGGACATGAATTATCGATTTGTGTTATCATATCTCACCTTGCAGAACGGACGCTTCAATGAAGCCCCTTCGTTTCAGCACAATCAATAATATTTGATAAGTGATGATGATTGACAGTGGTTGTTTATACAACACGCATTACATCTTGTTTGAGACTCACTCACCAACTCAATGTGTCTGCATTTCAGTGACTCAGGGTATCTCCCCCAGTAAGAATTCAGTCAGGAATCAATCGTTTTCAATGTCATAGCTGCATATCGGTGACCTGCTTAAAACTTCGGCTACTGTGTGAATGCCTCCAACAATATGTATTGGCATATAATTTCTCTTATTCAGTTTGTTTAACATCTAGTAAAATATCACCTCTAATGGTATTGTTTACTCTCCCTGGCGAGTATTTAAAACATTCTCAGCCCGCTAATTCACACGGTTCTACTAAACATGAGAAAAAGCGCTATCCTCGATGGCAGCTTATCCCAATACATTACACGACTGTTCCCCAGTGGTGTTCTTGGTTCATAATAATGTGCTCCTCAACTTTATGCAATTGACATTCAACAAAAATGTCGTTGTGTATTTCTCGAAGCAGAGAAAGAAGAAATATCATAATGGTGGATTGGTTTGAGCTTCAGGTCAGTTAGAGAAGTGTGTCACACGATCTGCTGTCAGTCAATTAGTCCTTGTTTTTGTTTTGAAGATCCAGGACGACGAAGAGGAAATATCATGCAATAAACTCCGGTGGAAATTCTGTACATCATATAAACAGTGTTCAGAATAAAGCTATTATTACTTACTATTATCATAATTATTATTGGGCAAAAGGTGTCAGTTGTTATTGATTGAAAATGAGAGTGTTTTGTAATTTATTTCTTTTTTTCACGAGTTTAAGTTTGTAAGGATTAGATTTGTTTATACGAATTTGACCACGGATTGATAACAGTTAGAGAGCCATTGAAAACCAGCCACATGGAGTACTCGACAGCCAGCTGTTTTATCCTAGGTTTTTGGGAATCATCAGCAGTACGCACATACTGCCAGGGTTCCACAACCCAGGATCTTCTGGCTACAAGACAAACTGGCTCTCATACCATTCAGTCATTGAGAGCCGATTCAATGGCCAACCCATGAATTCTAACTTACACCAATTCGTGATTTAGCGCGACCACCAACCAATGTTGGTGGATTGAAATGTTCGGTTTTTGAAACAATGAATGCTGTGCACAAGCCTCAGGAAGAATACTCACTGGGATGCAGGTTTATATGCAGTGGACGAATTCTAAATACCAGAAGAATGCACATCTTCAATTCTACTGTTAACCATCAGCAGCTGTTGAAACATTCAGGATAGAACGTTTCTCGGATTTCTATCAGTTCAAGTTGCCACATTTTGTAAGAGGATACATGAAAGAAGAGAACATGAACATGGGCACAGTACAATAGATTTAAATATATGTAAAACAGCAGAAGTACATGAAAATAACAGATTTTTAGAATTATGAAAGTAATACAAAGTGAAGAACTTTAACTTGTTAAATATCGCTAATCATTTCATGAAATATATTCAACATTTCAACTTTAATAACCATATTAGTTTGTTTATTAGATGTATCACACAGTGAAACAGTATTAGTATTTAATGGATGACGTTTCGAACAAAATGTATTCTTCATAATCATATCTTCAATTATAATCACACGACTTCAAAACCTGAATGGGTTTTATAGTTGTTTTCTTTGTTCTCTCCTATTTGTCGTCGTTGGGGTAGTAGAACTTTCCACTTGTCTGCCTGAATAGGTGTTGAATCATTCCTATTACACGTGTTGATTCACAGTTGATTCGATAAACAAAGCCTCAGTCAGTTATCAATCTCTCCCTCTACCCTGCTACAACATAAGATTTTGAAACTGTCATCTTATCCCATCCATCCTATTGTATGGAGTGGTTGTGTGTAATTACATGTAGTCAGTGCTGTCTATGGCTGAACTATTCTCTAGATTTCTTATCTTATTCGGGTCAACTAATCCAGAGTTTGCTGCTAGGTTTTTATGCTCGGCTAGTCCGACTGCCCCTGTTCTACTACTTTCACCTAACAATCAATGCAGGTGGGGTATTAGATAAACTGAATTGTTTTGTTTAATGTGCTGTTCCACAGGATTGATCCTTTAACCGACAAAGCATGTTTCCAATTGAGTTAGTGGGTGATTTGAATGCCAGCCACTTTTATTCCTGCCTGCCTTGTTAAGAATTCAGTGTAAGGTTTCCGAGGTTCCTTCCTTGTATGGAATTACTACTGATGATTTAGATTCCTTATTGTCGGTGTTGTCTTGCGCACATTCGACTTGCATGTCGTCATTAATATTACTATTATTATTACTACCACTATCACCACTATCATTAATTATTTTATTTTTACATTTCCCTATATATTTCCTGACTAATTTATCAGGGTAATTATTAAGTTTCAAGGCTTCTGTTAAATGTCTCACTTCATGTCTTAAACTTTCCTTCGTACTACTTAGTTTTTGTGCTCTGTCACTTAAACATTTCACCAATCCTATTTTTACTGACATAGACAAGCTGGGATGATCGGAAGTCCAAATATCTGTTTGAATGTGTGGGTTTCCTGTTAACACACACTAGTGTTTAACTTGCCATCTTCTTTCCTTTTTACGTTGCAATCTAACATTGGAAGCTCCCCTTCCTGACTTTCCAATTCATAAGTGAATTGAACTGCCTCCACCTTTGAGTTAATGTCTTCGAAAAATCTATCTATATCCTGGCACTTAAACAAAATGTATTAATGTAACTTCTTCACTATTCTCTGGTTAGTATCAACTGACGCCAAAAACTAACAACCTCAGTACAACATATGGTATTTCTATAGTTCGCAGGCCAGTATCTCCCACTAACTTCACAGTTGATTTTAGAAATTCTCCTACTTATGAATTGTCTGAATATTTACCTACGGCATTAAATCCTATTTGGAAACCACTCAAAATGTAAACTCCCCACTTCTAATGAACTGAAACACAGACTGGATTAGTTAAAATCACGTAGGCAAGATGAAACGATGGTTAGTTTCCACATCATCAGTTTATACACGCAAATACCGATAAATACGGTCACAGATTTGGTCAGAAACAGACTCATATCGGACCTAAAACTTCAAATTGCAACAAAAGTACCACTAGAAGGTATCATACTAGGAGTGCACCTATGTCTGACTCCTACATCATTGCAATTCCAAGGGAAATTGTACAAACAAACTGAGCGTACTGGCAACGGATCACCAATATCCCCCACAGTCACAGGTACATTTGTGGATACATTGTAAAACTTAGTGACTGGGACGTTCAGACCCAACCCAAAATATGGCGGAGGTATGCAGACAATATATTCACAGTCGTCATCTAAATGTAGTAGTGCTAAGGGATTTCTCAATCGAAGACTGAGAGTTGGTCAACAATAATAACAAGAATAATAAGAAATTAGAGAACACAAACAAAACTAACACTCTTACCCAGAAACATCAGATGGTTCCATCAACAGATGCTTCCGCAGGCCTCTCTGTATCGCCACGTTTCGGCATGTGCCTACGAAAGCTGGCGAACTAACCTTTAGGGCGTTGAATAATTCCTCAACTGAAGTGAATGATCCCAAAGATGCCTGTGCTCCACATGATAGACACAGGTCTGGATCACATTCTCTGACAGCCAAGAAAACAAGGGCATAGTTTCGCGTTACACTCACCATAGGATGTCGTGGTCAGTGTAATACGAAACTATGCCCCTGTTTTCTTGGCTGTCAGAGAATGTGATCCAGACCTGTGTCTATCATGTGGAGCACAGGCATCTTTGGGATCATTCACTTCAGTTGAGGAATTATTCAACGCCCTAAAGGTTAGTTCGCCAGCTTTCGTAGGCACATGCCGAAACGTGGCGATACAGAGAGGCCTGCGGAAGCATCTGTTGATGGAACCATCTGATGTTTCTGGGTAAGAGTGTTAGTTTTGTTTGTGTTCTCTAATTTCTTATTATTCTTGTTATTATTGTTGACCAACTCTCAGTCTTCGATTGAGAAATCCCTTAGCACTACTACATTTAGATGACGACTGTGAATATATTGTCTGCATACCTCCGCCATATTTTGGGTTGGGTCTGAACGTCCCAGTCACTAAGTTTTACAATGTATCCACAAATGTACCTGTGACTGTGGGGGATATTGGTGATCCGTTGCCAGTACGCTCAGTTTGTTTGTACAATTTCCCTTGGAATTGCAATGATGTAGGAGTCAGACATAGGTGCACTCCTAGTATGATACCTTCTAGTGGTACTTTTGTTGCAATTTGAAGTTTTAGGTCCGATATGAGTCTGTTTCTGACCAAATCTGTGACCATATTTATCGGTATTTGCGTGTATAAACTGATGATGTGGAAACTAACCATCGTTTCATCTTGCCTACGTGATTTTAACTAATCCAGTCTGTGTTTCAGTTCATTAGAAGTGGGGAGTTTACATTTTGAGTGGTTTCCAAATAGGATTTAATGCCGTAGGTAAATATTCAGACAATTCATAAGTAGGAGAATTTCTAAAATCAACTGTGAAGTTAGTGGGAGATACTGGCCTGCGAACTATAGAAATACCATATGTTGTACTGAGGTTGTTAGTTTTTGGCGTCAGTTGATACTAACCAGAGAATAGTGAAGAAGTTACATTAATACATTTTGTTTAAGTGCCAGGATATAGATAGATTTTTCGAAGACATTAACTCAAAGGTGGAGGCAGTTCAATTCACTTATGAATTGGAAAGTCAGGAAGGGGAGCTTCCAATGTTAGATTGCAACGTAAAAAGGAAAGAAGATGGCAAGTTAAACACTAGTGTGTGTTAACAGGAAACCCACACATTCAAACAGATATTTGGACTTCCGATCATCCCAGCTTGTCTATGTCAGTAAAAATAGGATTGGTGAAATGTTTAAGTGACAGAGCACAAAAACTAAGTAGTACGAAGGAAAGTTTAAGACATGAAGTGAGACATTTAACAGAAGCCTTGAAACTTAATAATTACCCTGATAAATTAGTCAGGAAATATATAGGGAAATGTAAAAATAAAATAATTAATGATAGTGGTGATAGTGGTAGTAATAATAATAGTAATATTAATGACGACATGCAAGTCGAATGTGCGCAAGACAACACCGACAATAAGGAATCTAAATCATCAGTAGTAATTCCATACAAGGAAGGAACCTCGGAAACCTTACACTGAATTCTTAACAAGGCAGGCAGGAATAAAAGTGGCTGGCATTCAAATCACCCACTAACTCAATTGGAAACATGCTTTGTCGGTTAAAGGATCAATCCTGTGGAACAGCACATTAAACAAAACAATTCAGTTTATCTAATACCCCACCTGCATTGATTGTTAGGTGAAAGTAGTAGAACAGGGGCAGTCGGACTAGCCGAGCATAAAAACCTAGCAGCAAACTCTGGATTAGTTGACCCGAATAAGATAAGAAATCTAGAGAATAGTTCAGCCATAGACAGCACTGACTACATGTAATTACACACAACCACTCCATACAATAGGATGGATGGGATAAGATGACAGTTTCAAAATCTTATGTTGTAGCAGGGTAGAGGGAGAGATTGATAACTGACTGAGGCTTTGTTTATCGAATCAACTGTGAATCAACACGTGTAATAGGAATGATTCAACACCTATTCAGGCAGACAAGTGGAAAGTTCTACTACCCCAACGACGACAAATAGGAGAGAACAAAGAAAACAACTATAAAACCCATTCAGGTTTTGAAGTCGTGTGATTATAATTGAAGATATGATTATGAAGAATACATTTTGTTCGAAACGTCATCCATTAAATACTAATACTGTTTCACTGTGTGATACATCTAATAAACAAACTAATATGGTTATTAAAGTTGAAATGTTGAATATATTTCATGAAATGATTAGCGATATTTAACAAGTTAAAGTTCTTCACTTTGTATTACTTTCATAATTCTAAAAATCTGTTATTTTCATGTACTTCTGCTGTTTTACATATATTTAAATCTATTGTACTGTGCCCATGTTCATGTTCTCTTCTTTCATGTATCCTCTTACAAAATGTGGCAACTTGAACTGATAGAAATCCGAGAAACGTTCTATCCTGAATGTTTCAACAGCTGCTGATGGTTAACAGTAGAATTGAAGATGTGCATTCTTCTGGTATTTAGAATTCGTCCACTGCATATAAACCTGCATCCCAGTGAGTATTCTTCCTGAGGCTTGTGCACAGCATTCATTGTTTCAAAAACCGAACATTTCGATCCACCAACATTGGTTGGTGGTCGCGCTAAATCACGAATTGGTGTAAGTTAGAATTCATGGGTTGGCCATTGAATCGGCTCTCAATGACTGAATGGTATGAGAGCCAGTTTGTCTTGTAGCCAGAAGATCCTGGGTTGTGGAACCCTGGCAGTATGTGCGTACTGCTGATGATTCCCAAAAACCTAGGATAAAACAGCTGGCTGTCGAGTACTCCATGTGGCTGGTTTTCAATGGCTCTCTAACTGTTATCAATCCGTGGTCAAATTCGTATAAACAAATCTAATCCTTACAAACCAAACTCGTGAAAAAAAGAAATAAATTACAAAACACTCTCATTTTCAATCAATAGCAACTGACACCTTTTGCCCAATAATAATTATGATAATAGTAAGTAATAATAGCTTTATTCTGAACACTGTTTATATGATGTACAGAATTTCCACCGGAGTTTATTGCATGATATTTCCTCTTCGTCGTCCTGGATCTTCAAAGCAAAATGGGACTTGGCTTAGGCAGATGCATCCACTTCTTGTGACTTTTAATTTTCAATGAAACTATATTGTTCTTCGTTATTACTATTTCTGTTGTCTCATATTTCTGTCTACTGTCTGTATTATGCATTTCTTCTCTTGCTTTGTGTGGTACATGAAGGGAGTGAGGCGACTTGAACTGCTGCACATCTGTGCGAATTTCTATGTTGAAAACAGACAGACAGATGTTCCCATAAATCTAATGTGTAGTGAAATGATGGTTTCTTTTGTGAAAATTATTCAACAATTCTGTTTTGCAATAGTTGTCTTCTTTATGTTGATTGTCTCCAAACTGTAGCGTCAACAGCATTTCAGTATTTCTTAACAATGGTACCAACTCATGTGATTCATCCATTCGAAGTAATGGAAACGTATCAGTATGCAGCAACTGCACAGGTGAGCATTAATTTTTGTTGTATGTGTTACTGTTATAAACATCATCGGTCTGTAGCTCACTGGTTGTGATAGTATATATATAGAGAGAGAGCTGCTACCTTGACGTGGTGGTTGGGCTTGCACATCGCAATGAGCCAACAAGCTACAGGTCCTACCATGCCAGGAAGGTTGTTAGGATAGGGATTCGACTAAAAGTAGTTGCCAGCATGGTGTAAGAATTTTGCTTTTACATTCTGCTGGGGGGTCTGTGCACGAAATCGTACTGCTGTGGAAGAGGGATGTAACAGCAGTGAGGTGTTTCCCTCAGATGACCAGCATGCCAACCAGCCATGCTGTCTGTCCACTCTGGAGAGAGTGGGTTAGAAAAGGTCGACCCCAACAATTGTACATCCCGACTTACCCTACGGTAATGTGTAACCGGTGGTAAGTTTACTAATACGGAACCAATCGAAGAAACCAGTTCATACAGGCCGTGTGTGACCGGCCAGCATCAGGTAGTTGTCACCTGGGCTCTGCGGTCACACAACACTAACCGTCTTTCTGTTTTAGGTACCCGACGAATCAGTCAACTTCCACGGTGTGGGCAGCTGGGAAGTAACAACCGCCCACACACACTTCCGAAAGCACACGAAGTCTTCCCGAGCATCATTCTGCAGACACATTGATGTTTATACCTGCTATAACAGCTTATGTACTCATAGTTCAATTTGTATATATGTGTGCGTGCGTGTGTGCGAAGAACAAGCTACTTCTTTGCACTATTTTCAAGTCGTGTATATAAATTAATTTGTTCCTGTGGATTTAATTGTACACACAACACAAAGCTTGCACTTTTCATCAAAGTATTTGAAAACACTGTCAAAGAACTGTGTAAATCAATCGCTAATGTAATACTTGTATCTGGATTACACAGTTACATCACGATGCTTGTGTAAAATTATCTACAAGGTAGTCAAGTTGAATGGTAAAAAAGCAGTTATAGTTAGTATCTCGCTGATGTTATCCCCGAGGAAGTGAATTTGTAGCAATCAGGCATTTTTAGGAACTGTTGGTACCTTGGGCTGCCTTTGATTTTAGATTCATATTCTTATCAATAAACTTTTCTTGATAACCGTTTTCACTCAGCAACCGTTTAATATTATTAAGTTCCTCATCAAGACATTCATCCGAGCAGATTGCTCTTGCTCTGCGGACCAAGCACTTTATCAGTTTGCGTTTGTATTTCAAGGGCACGAAGCTGAGAAAATGAGTATACTGACCCGTTGATGTAGGTTTTCTATATACACTTCCTCTAATTGTGCCATCCTCTTTTCTGGTCATAAGGACGCCTAGAAATGAAATACTAGAGTCTTTTTCTTTCTCAATAGTAAAATTTATTTCAGGATGAACCTCGTTAAATTTATCCATGATGTTCTTTGCTTCCTTCTCATTTTTCATAATCAAAAATTTATTATCCATGTGCCGACAATAGAATTCAAATTCATCAGTAGCATCCTTCAAAGGCCTATTTACTAGTTTCGCAAGGAAAATGTTGGCTAGAATGGGTCCTAGTGGTGACCCCTATTGCCACACCGTCGATTTATCTGTATAGAGTTCCTTATTTTAAAGAAAAAGTGAACATTCAGTGTGCATTTCAAGAGAAGCTCTTTTTTTATAAAAGATATAGAGGAATGCTGACATTGATGTTTCGTCTTATGAGTTCTTCGCATGCAAAGTTTACTGCTTCCATTTTTCATACAACTGGTTCCCTTGATAAATTTCGATAAAGAAAGGAAGACGAAATTTGCAGTATAAAATGATATCATTCTATTTCACAGGTTCTCATCAGCTGCAGACTACCTGAAATTACAATGGTTATATAAATGATAATAACATACTTTCATGTTTGATTAGTAGTGGAGAAGAGATAAAATTGACGCATCCACAAAAGAATGAAAGCATTACAATTTTTAGTTTAAGTTATCATCATCAATTTATACACTTTCAGAGTTGAAAAGAGGGGGAGGGGTAAGACAGAAAACAGAAAAATTGATTAACAGAAACAGTGTTAGCTTGTAGGTTCACATGGCAACTCCAAAAAACAAAAGCATTTACAGTTTATAAGATTGAGATTTGCTCAGTGAGTTGAGATCACTGAATTAGATGACTCATCAAAATCAATTCCATTTTTCTTTTTATTTAGAATAGAACAATCGATCATGCTCATGATAGTCATGGTATCCCTGGAATATTCTTCATATATGATACATTCCCATTAGTTGTAAAAGTGATATATGATCGTGAATTATTCGGTACATTTATTGCAAGACTTGCTGCTATCGCCGGTGGAATATATGCAACTGTTGCTTTTCTACGTGAAATTCTATCAAGTCTACCAGATGCCCTACGTGAAACACGTCTCGGTCGTCAGTTGGATTCAGCATGGACACGTAGAAAACGAAATTTACACAATAAACTAGTTGAAATTCTTCCGAATGGTTTAGAAAAGACTGGCCTACTGAAACCACCAACAGAGACTATTTTAAATCCTGACTCAGATACTTAATTTGACTACTACTACTACCACAACCACCTTCATCATTGTGTTATTTTATCGATTGTTGATTTTTCTTCTGTCCATATGTGTGTTTATTTGTGCCTTAAGCTTTCTGTGATCTGCTGTATGTTTGTATGTGGAGAGGAAAACAAGTGTTTCCATGACATCGTCTTTTCTTTCTTACCATTATCATTATTTATTTACTTATTTATTTATTTATTTATTATTATTGTGTACAGATCTCCATGACCTTGATGGTTATCTATCGACTGAATTTCAAATCATTCCGATTGTTTCTTCATTCTTTACCTTCGTGGATTCTGAGTTTTTCTCTTCTTCTTTTTTTAATAATTATATTCACTTTCTAGAATGCTTTTTTTTTCTTATTTATTTTACTAACGTATATTATGGCCTATTCTTGTCTTGTTGATCATTTTGATTGTGTACATATTATTGTATTATTTCAATTTAACGTGGATAATATATATAAATATATATTTGTGGATCTTTGTGTGGTGTTCTGTGTTTTCTCTTGTGATGAAAGTAGGTAGAAATTCTATCGTGTTCCTAGTGGAACATAGGGCTTCAACTGCACGTCTCCACTTGCTTCTGTCTTCTGCTATACTTTTCACCTGCATCCATGTTATTCCATATTGTTTCAACTCTTCTTCACACGATCTCCTCCATGTCACCCTTGGACGTCCCACTCGCCACTCGCTTCCCTTTCGGGTTCCACTCGAGCTATGGCCAGACGCGCGATGTAACCCAGCGGCCTCCTCAGCGAGTGTCCAATCCATCTCCACTTTCTCCTGCATATTTGTTGTTTGGCGATTGGTTCTTGTTTTGTTTGTTTGTTCCCATAGTTTCTTGTTGGTGATTCTTTCCGGCCATCTGATCTTTAGTATAGAGCGAAGACAGTTGTTGATAAAGGTCTGCAACAGGCTGTTGGAAATATTCTTTGTGACCAGATTCCAGCGAAAAATAAGGTTATTGTTGATATTTTTAGTAGTTTTAATATATTTATGCATTGAAGTTTCTGTAGAAATTTGGTTAAGTTTTGGGGGTGGAGTTTCTAGCACCACGCCCCAACCTTCCCTCTTTATCCGGGCTTGGGACCGGCTAGAAAACTAGCGAGCTAGTAATCTAGGCGAGGTTCTATCGTGTATGATATTGATTATATTCTACAACTAGTTTCAGTACGATAGGCCCATTTCATTGGCTCCTGTCATCAGCTGCTGCTTACAACAGCCTAAATAAATTATTATTACTAAGTTTATGTACAAAAGCGTTTTAACATACTTGCAAATTTTTTTGCTCCTCATGATGTCAGTTGACAAAAAGTTTCGCAATTAGTGAACAGTGCTCAGAAAATTCTGCTCATATACTTTTTTTACACATACAGTTCAAGTTTAGACAAAATAAATTTATGCATACAATGGTAAAAGAGGAGTTACGTAATAAAAATGAGAGATACGTAAGTTGCTGAGTGATTAATAAATTAGATAACAATGTACTGAGTTCAACTCAAATCATAGAAATAAGAGACCAGCAAAATTACACTGTATCGAACGGGGGGGTGGGTGAAGTTAAAGCCAGTGATTACGTAATCAAATGAAAAAAAGAATAAAGACATCCAGTTACCAGGATGGGCAAGGAAAGACTGATAACTAACTCAGTTAAATAAAAAACCAAAGTATATACTAATGACCAATCATATTTAGACAGGTCATGTAGTCCAGGGTAGGCGAAGATTGAAGTCTATTGATTTTTGTACACACAGTTTAGGCTGTATGTGGTCAATCAAAAGTGCTTCCGTCACATTCAATAACCTCGAATTAGAGTTATGTTAAATAATTGTAAAACAGTCATTAATATTGATTTTGTGACCTGACATTAATAAGTGTGTTGCAATGGATGATGCTGGATTTCTATTAAGATTAATCGCGTTGGGATTTTCTATGTGATTTAGTAGCCATTTCGGAACATGTTCCTTTCGACGACATTGGAACATTCTGTTGGTTCTATTTATATATGTGTCACCACAGCTGCAGGTGAACTTGTAGATACAGTTTGAAGTAGAGTCCACAGAATTTCGTCTTTTAATCGTTGGTGCAGGTATCGATAATGTTCGGCAAGTGAGAAAAAGAGATGCGGCGTAGAATGTGCGTTTGATGGTTGACCGACGTCTTTGAGCTGTCAAGTGCATAATCTGAGCGCCCATGAATGGTAGGTTAATAAAGACAGCTTTCATCATATAGAAAATCCCAACGCGATTAATCTTAATAGAAATCCAGCATCATCCATTGCAACACACTTATTAATGTCAGGTCACAAAATCAATATTAATGACTGTTTTACAATTATTTAACATAACTCTAATTCGAGGTTATTGAATGTGACGGAAGCACTTTTGATTGACCACATACAGCCTAAACTGTGTGTACAAAAATCAATAGACTTCAATCTTCGCCTACCCTGGACTATTTGACCTATCTAAATATGATTGGTCATTAGTATGTACTTTTGTGCTTTTTATTTAACCGAGTAATCGTCATGATCTTTATTTTATTATTATTAACCATGTTAGTTGTAAATCGGTTGTAAAGAAACTATGAAATGATATCATCTCGCGAAATTTGTCTTCTTAATGCCTTATTCAAATTTATCAAAGGGACTAATTGTTTTAATGATAACTAACTGCTTCTTCTTTCTGAACACAAATCTGGTTTCAAGCATTTTTGATAGAAATTGCTTCGGCAAACTTGGGAAGAATCGAGCCGCTTTGTCTATTGAAACTTTTAAAGGATTTCGCGATTTCCACCTCCTCATGACCCGTATCGACGAGAGATGTCTGGTAATAGCGCTACTGTAAGAGTTTGTTCCTTTGAGATGTAGGCTTTTCGGCACATGTTCAGGTAATCGGTATGAGATGATTTGATAATTTACGTGGTATCCAGTATGTGTAAAGTAGGTGGGACTGGCTTTGAACTCAGAGACCACTGATGTTAGCTAATCAGTGGTTAGTAACACAAGTAGTATTGTAACAACAGAAGACAAGGGCCAGGCAACAGTCGTTTATTAAGGAAAATCAACACATATTTATACATTTTAATGTACATTATTGTTAGTAGAAAATACAGTCTTTTGATTGGTTGTTTCTCACAGAAAGTTAACCTTGCATCTCTTTGTGGCTGTGTCAGTTCATCCATATGCTAACTGTATCCGCCTGCCTACGCAAAGCCTTTGTTCTCATTTCCTCACCACCAATATTGGGGACATGAACATTGACGTAAATTACTATCTACCAACTTTGGCCGCAGCCAGCTCTCACCACAGTTTGACAGTATTTTTATCGATGTTGTGTAGTCTAAGCAGTTGTGGGCTTTTTAGAACATTTGAGATACAACCTGGTAGAAGTTGTCAGCTACGATTTCCCAGTGAGTGAATGCAGGTACATCCAGATGACAAGTTTCAAATAATACGAAATGCGCATCACACATTCCACTGCTAGTCACCATCCACCAATTGAAAGTCAGTAGGTTTAAACTATGCAGCGAAAATGTGTCCACTGATTAATTGGGTTCAATCACTGAAATGAAATTTCATACAACTGGTTCCCTTGATAAATTTCGATAAAGAAAGGAAGACGAAATTTGCAGTATAAAATGATATCATTCTATTTCACAGGTTCTCATCAGCTGCAGACGACCTGAAATTACAATGGTTATATAAATGATAATAACATACTTTAATGTTTGTAATGTTATGTTATGTTCGCCTAAATGAGATCCATCCAAATATCAAGTTCACCATGGAATATGAACATAAAAATGAGTTCAATTTCCTGGATCTAAATGTAAAAACAGCAAACGAAGGCATGATTGAAAAGTCCATCTATAGAAAAGAAACCTGGACTGGACAATATCTTCACTATAACAGCTTTTGTCCCATAAGCTATAAACGTGGATTAGTGAGGACTTTGTACGACAGAGCCAGTAAGCTATGTTCACCAAACAAGGTCGAAGAAGAACTAGATTTCGTCGAGAAATGCCTGAGGGAAAATGGATACCCTAAAGGATTTATACAGAAGTATAGCAGAGAAAAAGATAAGAAAGAAAAGCATCCAACTGTAGAAATGATAGGATCCCACACACTTTGTTATTGTTCAATTATCTTAACGACTGTTAATCTCGCATAAGTCGTATATCATCATTTCCCACGCATTTTGTTATTGACTATTACGACCAATTATTTCAAATACTGTTAGCTGTCTGTATTGGTTGTAAAAATGTATAAATACCATTTCCTAAATAAGTTTCTTTGTCGTAGTTGTTGCACTACAATACACAGTCACAGACCAGCTTTTGTCTTTTGATATTTGCGTGGTTCGTTGAATCGGAAGGTACCAGAAGCAGATAGGCATATCAGTCATGCGCAGACAGAACAAGGAGACAACGTCCTCATTTAATTCCCCTACAGTTATAACAAGAAAAGAAAAAAGTGTTTATTTGTCTCCCATTCAAAGGAGATGCAGTGTCACAAAAGATCGACAGAAGACTGAAAGCTGCAATAAATAGAAGCTCCCTGGCAGCTAAACTCAACATTATACAGCACCACTCCTTCTATAAGACACTCAAAACTGGATAAATACCCTGCTGATGTCACCTCCAACTGCGTTTATGAATTTACGTGCACTTGCTGGAGCAAGTACATTGGAAGGACAGAAAGAAGGGCTTCTATCCGGTTTTCTGAACATATTCCAAGAAACCTATGCCTGAAAGGAAGCAAATATTCTCAGAGTGCAATTACCAAACATATTGTTGATACCGGACATCTCGTAGAGATTTCTAAGTCCTTCAAAATATTAAATAGACAAAGGACAGCAAATTTACTACGATTTGCCGAAGCGATCGCAATCAAACGATTTAAACCAGACTTATGCATACAGAAAGAGAGTGCGATCAACCTCTCACTCTCTTGGTAACTGAATTTTGATTTTGATTACATTAATAATTAGTCATCTAATTCAGTGATCTCAACTCACTGAACAAATCTTAATCTCATAAACTGTAACCGCCTTTGTTTTTTGGAGTTGCTATGTGAACCTACAAGCTAACACTGTTTCTGTTAATCAATTTTTCTGTTTTCTGTCTTACCCCTCCCCCCTCTTTTCAACTTTGAGTGTATAAATTGATGGTGATAACTTAAACTTAACTTTCATTCTTTTTTGGATGCGTCAGTTTTATCTCTTCTCTACTACTACTCAAACATTAAAGTATGTTATTATCACTTATATAACCATTGTAATTTCAGGTAGTCTGCAGCTGATGAGAACCTGTGGAATAGAATGATATCATTTTATCCTGCAAATTTCGTCTTCCTTTCTTTATCGAAATGAAATTTAATTTGTTATATACTTACTGTAAGATCAATTCAATTCCCATCCTTGAATCAAGTCAACCTGTCCCGGATCAGCCTAGCCTTGTTGCAACCCAATTATCCATGTCTAAC